TCTGTACTTCTGCTGGGTGCTGACCTGACTATGGATACCCTCACAACGATGTTATATGAATAATTTGGTGCGATCTGGGTTTTTGCATTTTCCAGCTCGTAATTTCGGGATAATTTGATGTAGGCTGGAGAGTCCCATTAACTGGATGATTATTCGTCTATTTTATGTTAGTTTGAATAGATAATATATTTATGATGGTTGCTTTGGGACAAATTTTGAGCTTGACCAAGGTTTATGTTTATCTTTTGTCCTGCATGCTTGACCAATTGAAATACCGAGGCAAACTCGAGTCTGAATTCGGCTTTTTCCCCCCAGGATTTTTATTATATGCTCTTGTTCGTATTGGCATTGATTGTGATCTCTTGCATGTTAATGAACTGATTGTCTTTAAAACAAAGAAATCAGAATTCAATCAATTTATATTCATTTCCTGCAAATGGGATTCCAGTGACATTATGCATATTCTTCACGAATTAAATATTTCTTCCTTTATGTTGAAGCGTCTTGTTGCTTAATTTAGTGAGTCCCCGTTCTTTAATCTTGCAGATGTGGAGCCTGACTGTTATATTGCTCTAAATATTAAATATTCCTCTACAATATTTATTTCTTAACTATAGTTGAAGTTATCCCCCCTTAGCACTGATCCTCAGTCATTTCCCGTGGATGCATGCTATGCTGGAGACTAGATACTTGTTCAGGAACTTTATTTTCTGCTGAGGTTCCTCTTGCTAAAATCTAACTTGGTCCTAGGACATTTTCGCAGTGCGGAAATGCAAACCAAGAAAAAAGCTTCTGGGAGAAATGGTAGTCCTGAGCGTGTTAGTCCAAGGATTTCAAGAGCACAGCGGAAGGCCTCTGAAAATGGGCAAGAAGTACAAAAGAATGTTGCTGACCTAATTACATCTTCAAATAGAAAGAAGAAACATAGTAAGTTCCTACTTACTACTATTTTTTTTTTTTTGGCTTGAAAGTAATCTAATAACATTACCTTTATTATTGTATCGATTCTTTTATATCTTGTTATTCCACCTTGTTGTGTTGTCTGACGCATAATTAGGTTACTTCTTCCATAATCTGAACTATGCTAATAAATTTTTGTATGAAGTGCTGCCATAGACTGAGTCAATCAATTTTCCATTACTCTTGTAATGATTAATGAATGATGATTAATTATTTACTGGAAAAATGCTCGTGTTAGGTAAACTTTACTCCAGAATGACATTTCTTTGAACAATATTTTATTTTTCTTTGTGGTATCTTTCAGTCAGTACTTTTAAGAAGAAAGGTGCTGAGCCAATCCCTTCAACAGATTTGGGGAATAATTATGACTTGGTACATCATGACACTTCCAACGCTTGTTTGGCAAATGATACAGTTGATGGGGCTTCACTAGACTTGGTAAGATAATTTGGCAATCTTTCCACGTGTGTGTCTGGGGTTTTCTGCTAAGTTTCTTCTTTTGCATGAAATTGACTTTACTGATATTTTATACAATTGCCTCAGGATACGACTTGACAGACTTGTTCTCTATGATGAAGCAAATATCTGAATATTCCTGCATATGATTAGCATGTTAGATGCAAATGCTTTATATAAGGAAAAAAATTATCATTGCCTTAATATCATTCTGGTCTGAAATAATGCTCTAGGGTTGTGACAAGCAAGCCATGCATTTGGAGTCTGGAACTATATTTTCTCCTGCTTTTCATACATCGAGAGGTTGTGGAGGACAAGTTGTTGATAGAGGTAAATGACTATGTTGTATTTAGCAATTCTTTGTACTGACTTCTTTTTTCTTGTTGACGATATAATCTTAGTATTTCAATTATGATTTTGTATAAAATTGTCATTGATCTTTTTCTTTTTGTTTTCTCTAGTTGATTTTGTCAAAATTTTTCAGAACGGGGACCAGAAAAGCATCTCTACGGATGAAAAAATAGAGTTACATCAGAGGGATTCTTTAGATGGTCGAGTTTATAGAGAATCTTCCATTGCAATGGAAGTAGACATGAACAGTCTATCCAACCACAACACACTGAGTTGTGGTGATCAGATGCTGGGCACAGAAGATAACAGTGGTTGTAGTTCTGAAAATGATGGAAATGGAGAGGTTTCCGTGACTCATCTATCTGTTAAAAACTCAAAGCTGGAATGTGTTGATGAGCATGGCCAGGACTCCATATCTTCTGATCTTTGTCAAGAGGATGACGAGTTTTCTGATTTTGATGAATTCAATCCCTACTTATTCATAAAGACCCTACCTGATTTGTCATCAGTGGTTCCAACTTTCAGACCACTGTTACTGCCCAGGCAGACAAGAAGTTGTCCCCCTACCACTCTTGTCCTGGACTTGGATGGTAAGAAAATCAAATTACATGCCTCTTTTGAATTTCCTGCATAACCCACAAGGAAAAAAAAATACACAAAAAATTAACGATTTAGTTTCTTTTTATTTGGATTTTGAAATGTTACTGTTAATGAAGCTCTTTGAGTTATAATGCTCGCATTTCCTGATAATCTTTTTAGTCTTATTGTCCTGCATTATAATTTCTCTTTTTCTAGGCCTTACAATATATGACTAGACATTTGTGTTTTGAATTTTGTTAACAATAATTGCCATTTTTCTTGAAATAATTATAGACCATATCCCTTCATGGTTTATGACATCCTTTCAGTCCTAATGTGAATAAAGTCCTTCATTTTAAGCGTGGTTTAAGACTACATCATTTGAGTAAAAATTGGTCTTGTTACATCGTATGACGACCTTCAATGTTTAATAGATATTTGGTTGGTTAAACTTATTTTTCTTTTCCTTTTTTATTATATTAATAATAGATAATAATTATTGTGTCAAGCTATGGGTTGAACTCCGTCTTTGTACTTCTAATAGTGAATGTGGTTTTTTTGTTGACAGAAACTTTGGTTCATTCTACTCTTGAACCATGTGAAGATGCAGACTTCACATTTCCTGTTAATTTTAATTTTGAAGACCATACTGTCTATGTCCGCTGTCGTCCCCACCTTAAAGATTTCCTAGAGAGAGTTTCCAGTCTGTTTGAGATTATAATATTTACAGCTAGTCAAAGTATATATGCTGAGCAACTTCTAAATGTGCTTGATCCAAAGAGGAAGATTTTTCGTCACCGTGTTTACCGCGAATCCTGTGTTTATGTGGATGGAAACTACCTCAAGGATTTGACAATTCTAGGCCGTGATTTGGCACGTGTTATAATAATTGACAATTCCCCACAGGTATGGTAATGGCGTTTCTGTCCCCTTTGAGATCATTTCTGTAGTCATAATGGGTGATTGTTATTTTTATGCTCAATTAGAGTTTTGGATGTGAAGTTTAGTCAGAACTTGTTGACCCTAATTTTGCTACCTAACACTTAGTTGTAATTTACAAGTTGCCAATCACCTGCTTCAATTTTGGCTAATGACTCCTTGTAGTTTTTGTTTTTGAGAAGCTACTTTCTGCTAAACTTAACAAGTTATAAGACTGCTAAACATGCAGTTGTTCGGGGTGGGGTCATCTGACATCATTGCCACGCTGTTAATTTATAACATTTTTAAACATCTATGTTTAAGGAATATTCTACGGCTAGATTTTTCCAAAAAAATATAAATGTGGTCCAGTAATGATACTTATATCTGCTGTTGATTTTTCCCTCTTCAGGCGTTTGGGTTTCAGGTGGATAATGGAATACCAATTGAGAGTTGGTTCGATGATCGTTCAGATCAAGAATTGATTTTATTGCTGCCCTTTCTGGAGAGCTTGGTTGATGTTGATGATGTTCGTCCACTAATTGCAAAGAAGTTTAACCTTCGGGAGAAAATTGCTGCTGCTGTGCATCCATCTTTAAATTCAAATAGAGATCTCATATCGAGTCTTCAGTATTCATCATGGGTTGTACAATATTGAGACTTGAGAAAAACATGGCTTCTTTTCAAGTTGTAACATTCTTAAATAATGACTTTAGCAACAGCATCCTGTAACGACATGCAGTCGACTCAAAAAAAAAAAAAAAAGGAAAAAGAACTTTGGGCCATGTATATTGGGGTTGCTTGCCCCTGCTTGGTTTGGTTGTTTATTGGCTTGCCATAAAAATTCTCCAAATATTTTACGTATTTATGCTCTTAGTTGATGGACTCTGAGGATTCTATTAGTGATAACTAAGGAATTTTATTCCAGAAAAAAAAAATAGTTGTTGCTAACTGTTCTATTGCCAAAGAGTAAAATTTTAATATAATGCTGAAAGATGAGGTCAATGTGAACCCGATATTTTATGTGCTTTTATATTGGTATCTGGGAAATATAATTGGATGTTTGATTAATTGATTTTCAAAATACTATCTCTGGTTCTTAATATAAGAACTAGCTAATTAACTTGAATTAATTAAAAAAATTAATTATGTTAGTTGTTTGTAATAAATGGATGTTTTTAAAAAAATATTTTTACTAATTAAATATATTGGCTAACTATCATTATTATAAAGACTATCTTAAAAAAAAAAAGATAGATATGAAAAATAAAATGTATATTAAAGATTAACATAAAAGTTAAATAAGTTCTTATACTAAGGAGTGAAAATAGTATTTGGTATTGTTAATATTTGGAACACAAGTTTGTACTAATAAATCATTTGATATACTGGTTAAATTCGAAGCCCAGCCAAGTCTGAATAAATGTACATGTTAAAATTCGAGAAAAGGGATTGACAAAAATTGTAAGCGTAAAAAGTAGATACTACTATAAATTACGCTTACTGTTGGCAAAAAAAATTTCGCATATACTACTCAAATATTTGAACCATAAATGCTAAAAAAACAATAACTTTTCAGGACCAACAGACTAGATGATAGAGCCTACGATTTTTTGATCAGTTGGCGCCAAGCCAACTGACCGAAATGCGTGACCAACAGAACCTATAGGACTTCGCCCTCGCGCTCGCGGTTATCACTTGAGGCACGAATTGCTTGCATCACCTTGCTTAGCCTATAAATAACAACCCAGCCAGTAGCTACTTCGTCTTCCTATCCCGCCATATTCCATTCAAAATCTTTCACGCATCGAGCGAATTCTGAGTTTTCTTCTTCCGTCGTTTTCACTTTTTCGCTGTAACTCTTGAATTTCGCATTAACAGCCGAAAATATGGTGATAAGAGAAGCCTCTCTGAATATACTGTTCTTTCAATTTGATCCTCTTGGGTATTCTGAATTTCCGTTTCATTCTTTCAGGTCGCTGCACAGAAAGTCAAGGAAGCTGAAATCACCGAGCAGGATTCGCTTCTTCTTGTAATCGTCGACTATCTTAGTTTCATTAGCATTTCGTAGTTTTGCATTTTTTGATCCGAGTTTCCCTCGCAAATGATTTTGGAAGTCTTTCTCTGTGTGTGTTCTCCCTGCTTTGATTCGTGATGGATGTAATTTATTTCTTCAAGTGAATTTAGATTGCTTAGCAGAATGTAGTTACAGATTTTACATTGTATTTCTGCTGCTATCAAGTTCTAGCTTAATCTGAGGCGTCTGATTTGATGCCACGAGTAGCCTATAGTTACCAAAAATCTTCGGTTTAGTCAAGTGTAGATGTTAGACAGGATCTAAAACTAAGAGTTCGTGATCCATAACTTTAATAGTAGTTTCTCTAAATATTTCCAAGAACGGTACTCTCTGCAAAGCAGAGTTTGTTTGGAGTTTAAACCGGTTCGTGCTCGCTTTCCTTTACGGTTTCCTTATTCTGGGACTCATTAGGACTGGAATTCTTACTTACAAGAATTTTGATTGGATTCCATCAGATACTTACTCATCTGAAATTAATTTGACAGACGAGGAACTTGCTTCGAATTGCCATATTTAATATAAGTTACATCAGAGGCCTATTTCCTGAGAAGTATTTCAACGATAAGTCTGTTCCAGCTCTTGGTAAAGTTTATCTTTACTAGCCCGTCCATTATCCTATGATTTCAACTGAGTCTTCTAATATTTGTTGGTTGATTTCTTAAAATTTCTGATAAAAACGACAGAGATGAAGATAAAAAAACTGATGCCATTGGATGCAGAATCTCGCCGACTTATTGATTGGATGGAGAAAGGCTCGTTTACTTTTATCTCGTTGAATTTTTCCGATTTGAGTTTCGATTTGTTTTGAATTGGAAGCTATCCGTTCTCTTATGTAAATTGCAGGAGTATACGATGCTTTGCAGAAGAAGTACCTAAAGACACTTTTCTTTTGTGTCTGTGAGACAGTTGATGGACCGATGATTGAGGAATATGCATGTAAGGCTTTGACTGTCTGATTATAACCGTAGTTATTTGGATCACCTAGAAAAGTTGACTGAGAAGAGAAACCCGCCGACTTATTGATACAAGGATAACTTTGCGCAATGCTGATGGCACAATGTGGATTCCTATTTCTTCTTTCTTATATTTAGTTTTTCTACTGTAGTTTCCTTCAGCTATTCGGGTTCTGACAAACAAGAGGTCTCCATGAATATCAATCGCACTGGAAACAAGAAGCAGGGTGGGACATTCAAAAGTAACAGTACCACAGAAATTACTCCCCAGCAGATGAGGTTTTTTTTTTCCGAAAGAAAATTTGCATTAGATCAAAAATGAACTTGTTTGAAACCAAGTAATTGATATTATTTGCGGCATAATGGCATCTTCAGGAGTTCTGCTTGTAAAATGATTCGAACACTTGTTCAGTTGATGAGAACTCTGGACAAAATGCCCGAAGAGGTAAATAAGTTCAGACGCTTTGCTTGATACAGCCAATTTTTAGCACTTCACTCTTCCCTTTACGGTGCAAGAAGTCTGAGGTATTGTCTTTTATTCTGTCCTCAGCGTACCATATTGATGAAGCTTATCTACTATGATGATGTGACGGTATGCTTCTGATCTTGGGGCTCATGTCAGTTGCTTAATATGCTTTTAGTTTGTTTCTGAGTTGTAGAAATATCTAGAATACGAATTCGATTTTGGTGGTTGTTTAGCTTTTGAAATATTTAACGAGATTGTGTGACAAAAAGGCCAGATACTTTATCATATACAAACGGTACGGCAGACTGTAATATAGAAGCATTCACAATTTTCTATCCTTGCAGCCTGCAGATTATGAACCTCCATTCTTCAGGTGTTGCACAGAAGAAGAAGCCCGCTGTCCATGGACAAAAAGTCCATTGAAAATGGAGGTTGGGAGTGTAAACAGCAAGCATTTTGTGTTAGCTCTCAAGGTAAGGAAGGATCATGGTCACAGCTTGTCTTAAAATCCATTTTTCTGCTTTCCGATAACGGTTTTGCATTTAAACTCATATAGGTGAAGAGTGTTCTAGATCCTTGTGAGGATCAGAATGAGCAAATGCAAGATGATGATATGAGCTCTGGAGCTGATTCCACACAGAGGGATGAGTATTTAGATTCTGACAGTGAGGTAAGCGAGGATGTTGCTTGATATAAAGCATCCCTTAGATTCTACTGGACTAAAATGAGTCACTAAAGCAACGGAGCTCCTAAAATTGTGTAATCCTCCAATTTTCAGGTTGACCATACTCAAGGTCAAGGGGATCGATATATAGTTGCTCCAATAGGTAATTGCTATTCAGCCCATGTTTTTCGTTTCATTTACTCAACTCCATTTTAACAAACAAACGAGTTAGCGCTGGGAAAAGAAAGAAAAAAGGTAAACAAGTTTGTACCTATCACCGCAGAAAAACAACCACAGGCAAATGATGGCATGGATGACCAAGGTAAAAATGGCCTTTTAGACTTAACTATCCTTCCTACCTACCTGTATCTGTTTCTGTCAGGCATGTTAATATGTGGGTGTATATAATCCAGAGGATGTATTTTAGTGTTTGTCAACTGCTTGTTATTGTGTTTGTGTGTAGTGTAGGCACCTATGTAACTATGTATGTTTTCTTTTACAGACGTAGTTTAACGAATAGTGGACTTTGATCTGTTTGAATACGTTATGGTCTTCTATATTTTACGCAGACAATACACAGGATTCTATGGAAGATGACCGACAGTTAGACCGCGTGAAGGATTGGATTCATTATTGCCACCTTGACACTGTTGAGCTTACTGACGTTCTCGCAAACTTTCCTGACATCTCAGTGGTAATTTTTTCTTTTAATTTTCTAATCTTTATAAAATCTGTCTGAGATAGTTTTTCTGGGCATTTTTATATTATCGTTTAAGTCTTGCGATTTCATTTTGTAAAATTTTTTTTAATCTTTTCTCATTTTATGTCAGATACAATCTTAATTTGAATTTTGACCCTGGCAGGTTTTAATTGAAGGTATAAGACTTAACCATCACGTTGGAACGGTGCGGTAAATTCCATTGCTTGACAAATAATGTTGTTGTGGTGATTAATTTTAATGGGTTATTCAGAGATCATGGAAAAGCTTGTTAAGGAAGACGTGCTGTCTGAAACGGGAAAGGATACCTACACCATTAACAAGCAAAAGGTGGACTTTTACTCTCAATTCTGAAAGCGCCTTCTTTCTCATTACTTTTTAATTTGACCTGATAAAAACTCATTCTCAGAGATCTGATGAATATGAGTTCTCAACCGTGAAAGAGGAAGCTGACGATCAAACTATTCAAGTTATTGATGGAGTTCCCCAGGTTGAAGATAGCCTTTACATGAAGGCGAGTTTTACCTCATTCTCAGAAATCTTGGCGGACTATCTACATATATATTAGCTTTAGTTGCTATAATACGTACAACTTGTGCTTGAAAATAGTATACTTGTAAGTCAGAGTACTGATTTTGAAATAGACTAGGCCTCAAAAACAACTTAAGTGAACAAAGCATGATAGACATTGAGAGTTAATAACTTAATGCCACATTCAAGTCTGATTTTCTTTAATATTTGTAATAAATTAAATTTTTCTTATTTGTAAGGCTCCATTCGTGTGATGAATGAAACATCAGTAGTTTGTAGTTATTTGCTTCAACAAATCCCGTGCGGCTTTCCGTAAAAAATTGAATAGAGTGCGCCCGCGCGCCTGTCTGTCTTTTAACAACTCTGCATACAGTATATCAGCTAACTCAATTGTCAAGATCTCAGGCTCTCTATCATGCTCTACCAATGACCTATGTGACAGTCGCAAAGCTTCACAACAAGCTTGAGGGAGAAGTAAGCCAGACAGCCGTGCGCAAGATAATTCATAGAATGATTCAGGATGGTTTTATTGAACCCAAAGGCAGCAGAAGATTGGGTATTAAATAATCGATCTAAGAATAGTCTTTTATCTTTTCCTTACTTATTTCCCGTCTTCTTAATAATTATGTCGTAAATCAGGGAAACGTGTGATCCATTCTGAGTTGACTCAGAGGAAACTGATGGAAGTCCAGAAGGCTCTGATGAGTACCAGTGTTGAAGCTATGGTATTGACTGCAGAGTTTTCTGAGCGCGTGCGTGCGTCCATCTTTCATTTGGATATATGTTTACCTCTTTGGTATCTATGAAATTTCTCAGGAAATAGATCACAGTGAACCAAATAGTAAGTGCAAGCTCATTTGTTTCCATGCAAATGGTAAAGGTTAATGAATAAGTTCAATTATCGATTCTGCAGCTTTGAGATAATTTAGATCTTACGACTGTAATTTCCTTTCTTGGTAATCAGGAAGTAACAACAGGGAGGGATCCACATGTGGTGTCCTCCATTCCATTGGATCAGATCTAACGAGGATGAGAGTTAGATCTGACACCAACCAAACTGACTCCACCAGGAGTGGGCTGAAGGTGAGAGAGTTGGGGAACACTCCCACTAGCAGAGTCGAGGCAAGTTTCATACATTAAGCTTCCCCTGTTCACGGTGGTCATTCTCCATATGTCTGCATATTCCTGACAAGTACTCTACTTTCTTGCACGGGAATCACAGCCTGTAACTTCTAGGGAGAGTTTTGCTCCAGGTAAAGAGAACAGCATAGCAAACGAACGTTCAACTATAAACCAGGGTAACGAAGTTGAGACTCTTCTCTGCACTAATAACTCTCAGGACAAGCGATCGAGGAAAACAAGCACGGTAATCTACGGCTTCGTCTTTCCTGTTTAATGCAACGTCAATTCCTGCCTAATGCAAACAACTCTTCCGGTATTTAAAGTAGGAAATGTCTGTAGACGGTAGTCTTCTCAAATGTTTTACGGTTTTAGACTTCTTTCTCCTCTCCCTTCTTTTGCAGGTCAAGGAGCCTATCCATCAATATTTTAAGCGCCAGAAATCTCAAGTTCAGTGAATCTGCACTACATAAAATCTAAGTCCGGACTTCTTTTGGTCCCACACCACAAACAATATGTCGTGATATGGTTAACTATTTACATATATCTTATATGTAGCGGGAGCGTCAAAACTTACTGATAGTAAGTAGTACAGAATTATCATGCAGGGTCAAATTCTTGTGTCTATAGACTATAGTCCTGCCTGATGACTTCATTGTGATTGGTCAAAACAATACTCCCTCTGGTACTAGTTTTTAGCCGGAGTTAGTACGTATGTTCAATTCTTATCTTCATGTCGTTTCCTTCCTCACTTTCGTTCTTGACGTTGAAATATAAAGAAATATCATAATAGGTAAGGGGATTATTTCTTAGTTCGCTTGCCAATGGCGAGTCGACCGTAAAAGACGATTTTTAACCAACATCAGTCCCTCAGGTAAAAAAATAAAATAAAAAACCAACATCAGTACCAAATTTTTTAACCAATCTACTACCAACTCAAATGGAATCTACTACCAACTCAAATGGAATTATTATGATGATTTTTAAGGTGATAATCCTTCTTCTTTTTTTTTTTTTGCCAATTAGGGTGATAATCTTTAACCAATTTACTGTAAATGATTATTTTTAACCCAATTAAAAATTATCCTTATCATCATGGCGTTAATTTCCTTCCTCTTGCTCTCGTTCCACATTGACCGACTGTATGGTTGGCATTTGAAAGAAAGTTCTTACTTCCTTTTAAGCTCAATTAATTAATTGTACTTAACATTTTGCGTTTTGAAAAATTGCTTGACTTTGTGTTATTTTTTTATTGATGAAAATAAAATTTCTGTCTAATATATATTATTTCTCTCAAAAACAGAATCATTTAACTCTTTCTGGTGTATAAAAAAAATCATTTAACAGTAATAAAATATTGGGGTTTTGACATCAACTTAACTGTTTTTATTATCACATGAACAATGACATTATCATTTCATTCATAAAATTTAACTATGTTAAGAAAAAGAAATTAAATTTCTTGAACGTATAAAGATTCTGTAAGATGATATAAATTGTGTTGAATAATAACATTACAAATAATCCGTCATTTCGTTTTATTATTTCCTAATTCAATAATCATTTTCGTAATATCTGAAAACTATTGAGTACTTAAAATAATTGTCTGTCTAGAAAACACTATGTAAAGTTAAAAAAATATTTTATGAAATAGAATTTTTATATATATTACGAACAAAAAAACAAATAGTAATATTATCACTGAATAAAAACGATAAAAATAATAAATATTACATATCATCTTTACAAAAGAAACATAATATTTTAACAATAACATAAATGTATAAAAAGTTGGAAACTATATTATTGTGTTGTAAATAATATAAATATTAAAATAAGCTCTCCAATATTTTTAAAAAATCAAAACATCTTCTTACCGAACGCTGCCTTGAGAGCCATGTCTTGGAGGTCAATCGTGTGAATTTGTTTATTTATTTAAGTTCTATGTCGCAGCCAAACTGAAATTCTTCCACCAATAATAATAATAATAGAACAAAATATTCCGCTCTCTGCCGAAAATGGCTGTCGTCTCATTTGTCATTTCTCAACTTCCGAATTGAGATACGGGTAAGAAATAGCCGCGTGGCATACTCTGTTTCGAGCCGAAAGCGCTAAAAGACCCCTTGGGCTCATATGTAGGCCCCACGGGAATACAACTGCCACCGATTCAGTTATGAGATTCTTGAAATGATTTTCCACCTGAGACGTCTATAAATAAAACGAATCGCATTTCTTCTTCACCCTGTGAAAGCTGAGAACTCTGTTACGCTGAGAGTGAGAAAACGCTGTTGAGATTTCTGTGACACGCAGCTTTCAACGCACGAATCAATGGCTTCCAGTTCTAACACGGTTTGCAATAATCTGCTATAGCTCATTTTTCTTCTTCGTCTCGAATAGCAAAATTTTTTAGTTCGTTCTTTTCGTTGAGATTGTAATCACTGTGAAGTTTATCTTCATGACTTGCAGTCTGAGATTGAAATTGAGGGTCCAGAATTGAGGCACCTTGGATTTGTGAGGACCATTGGCATTGGAGTGTTTGTCTGTGCTTGGAGTATCTATGACTACGCAAAGAGGAACCATACGCTTTTAATGCTCCCTGCTCAAATGCTGGAGGTCCCTGTGCGGATTGTTCTTGGTCCTGTCTACAACAGATTTCAGAACTTGCCTGACGATCTACTGGATTGTTGCTGACATTATGGTATTTTACCTTTCTCACTCTCGGTTCTCTGGATCTTTTCGTTCTAATTCTTGGATAAAATAATCAACGTGGCTCAGAGTATATGTTTTGTGATCTTTGATTCTTGGATCATTCATAATCTATGCTTTCTTGGATACGAAACATATGCTCTGTTAGTTTGAAGAACAGGAAATCTTGATAAGAACTTATTAATATCATTTCAAGATGCATTCTTAAATATTTTTTATCTCGATATTAGATCAGGTTACGTGTATTTCTTGAATAACTATGGAATTTATTCTACCTCATGGACTATACTGGCAAAAAGAGATGGTGAATTTATTTACTAAACTATGCAAAACTCGGACTGCGCCGCTCACCAGTGTTTGGCCGGGTCTAGATTGTTTTAGTGAAACTCTCCTTGTATTGGTGACTGTTGCATTAAAAATCACAACCTTACTTTTTATATTAAGCGTTTATATTGAAGTAGAATTATACTCTTGGAAATTTCATCTCTCAAAATTCAACAGCTATCTCGGTTGCTTTCCCCATATATATATATATATATATATATATATATATCTCTCTCTCTCTCTCTCTCTCTCTCTGCGCGGGTGCGTGTGCGTGTGTGGAGAGTTTAGTTAAAAAAGATATGGTTGACAATATGTCATGTCTCCTTATTCAGTTTGGTTCTCGAAAATGGTTTGATTTATTCTTTTAAGGAACAGTTCGAAGCTGAGATAATTCACTTATATGTGGTGCAGGTGGATAAACTTGTTCCCACACTCCATGCTTATACTCCTATGTGTGCTAAGCGGCTTGTGAGGCCATTCAAGGTTATGGCAGATAAAGTGATAAATAAGGCGGTCATAGCTGCGAATGAGGCTCAAGCTAGAGGGCCAGAGTCAGCCGCACGGTATGTTGCTGCAGAGTTTCAGAAATTTGTGCTAACAACCATGGCGAAGTTGTGGGTTTATTTCAAGCAGTATCTCCTAATTCGAGCACTAGTGTACTTGGCCCTTCCTGGAGCTGCTTACACTTGCAGGAGGTATAACAGATTCATCAGGTACTCGACTAGGAGGGGTTATCCTCTTGTGGGGTATTTACCTGTTATCCCCATCAATGAGTTAGCTGAGGCTGTTCATCAGGAATCACTCAAGTCCTTTGGGAATATAGCAGAGTCGCCCCGTTACCATTCAGATTGAGGATTTCCACATTGGAAGCTGGAAACTGAAAACAACTGTTTTGATTTGATACAAAGTAATCTCTGATGCGATACTCACTAATCTTTGATGTTAGACTTGGTAATCTTTGATGTGAGGCTGACTTTACGTGGGGTTTTCCTGTGTGGCAAGAATTGTTTTGAGTTGTGTGACGAGATTGAATCGATGATGTGAATGGTAGGTCACAAGTTTTTTCCTTTTTAGGATCAAATTTCTCCTCTCTCGTTTATAATAATGTTCCGTTACAATAACTGACGATTAAAAGTAGGCCAACTCGATATGAAATGTGACATGAATGATGGGTCACAAAGGCTTTTTTTTTTTTTTAACCCCAGTTTCTTTTGGAATAAGGCCAACTCGATATGAAATACGTACTTTCATAGGGTGAATCGGAATTTCCGATGCAAGTCTTCATTTTCAGGTTACAAAATTTCCCAAACAACTTATCATTGACGGAAATTTACAAATCTCACATCCCAGCGGCACCATTCTTGCTTATTGCTTAAGCATGGTGAACTTCCTATTACTGTCAAAATGAGCCGAAACGCATATAATGGGATCTATGAAGTTTTTTTAGTGCGGAAAGAACTGTCTAGATGTGAGACTTAGCGATCTTTGATGAGAGAGGCCGACTTTACTTTGGGCATTTCTGTGCTGCCAGATTTGTTTCGAGTTATGTTACGACAGGCCGGCTTTTTCTTCCTTCCTTCATTTTTTTTGTCCTTTAAAGAATGCGTTTTGGTCTTTTGGAAGTTCCATACTCAACAATACCATGAACATCAAGAATGAGGTGTCATATTTCGCTGATAGAAGACCACTATAAGAACTCTTAATTGGTAACGCAGTATTCTCTCATCTTCAAATAATAATAATAAGGACATGCATTGGTGTCTTTTAGCGTTGGTCAGCATATAAACATGCATATTTTCTGGTCAGTGCTTATCATATCATTCGTTAAATAAGTCTGTCATCACATTAAGTTTACATATTCTATTGACATGCGCTCATTTATAAGTATCGTCGATTAAATTATTGCCCACCTAACAAATTATTAAATCCCCCAGTACTTGCTGCTCAAACACATCTCAAGGCCACTACATAACCCAAGCATCACTGAAACTGTGCCCTAAGCTTCTGATATGACATTGTAATAAATAACAGAATCAACAGTTAGCTAGAACAATAGGCGGTTATCAGCCGTTGGATTTTGCCTATATAAACAGACTTATCTCTCATTTGAGTGCTGTACTGTGATCAACCTAATGGAATGAATCTCTTTTCTCCGGTACACTCTTTCTCTTCCGTCTATTACCTTCTAGGAACCCCCCCCTTCCCTCTCTAGTTTCCCCTATTCTCTCTGTTCCTCTCCCCTTTCCCTTCTTTCTCTCTTTCTTTTTCCAATAACATGACAGCTTCGTTGGTACCAGCATTGCCAATATATAACGAAGACCTTATCAACGCTCAGCATGATTCTGCTCAGATAGCTTCATCACTTAATTAGCTCAGGTGGTTAATACTATTACTAAACGCACGTTACACCATCATAACTCGGTTGAATCGTCTATGGGCCATGCAGATAGCACGATGATTAGTCTGATCATTATATCAAGAAAGTACATTCGCTTCTTTCATATAGTCACAGTAACATGGAACCTTATTTGAAATAACAGTAAAGAGGTGCAAGTCAGTTGAAACCTCTGCAACAATACAGGAAATTAACAGCATAAATGAATACAGTTCATAAACCCACTCTTTTCTTCTGAAAATTTGCGACAAATCCAGCACTCCTGCATTAAAACAAACGACTAAATATGAGTATATAACTGGGAGATAGTTGCAGAGCAAAAGGTTGTCCAAATTGTCACTTCAGATAAACCTTTTCCATTTGAATAGAATGTAACATGCTGAATAGAATGTAACATGCGTTAACACTAACAGATACAAAACGTCATATGTTAAGACACAGCAACATGACAAGAATGTTGGATACATATCCGATACAATATAATTCAATTTTTTAACTTTCACATATCACATAATTGTTTGTCAACTACAAATCACATATCTTAACAGATGCAAGAGCACCGCTAAGCAAGGGCTCCAGATTCCTGATCCATTGTAATGAAACTCATATTTTTAGCAACTACTGTCCAACCACAAAAATATTTTAGACTCCTACTTCCCGTAATCAAGTTGAGTGTGCAAAAGCCATGACAGTGAGCAATTTACCTCTTGTGCAGGAAATGGAAAAGCTTTGTTTCAATCATTTGAGATAAGGCCACGCAGATACACACAACTACTGCATTGACAGGTGCATGAACTTAACAATTCTCATAGGAACAAGTCACAACTTCAGAAACCTGATAGGAAGCTATTAAAGATTACTTCTGCCATGGCCTTTTTTTAATTTTTTTTTGGGGGGTGAGGAATTACCCTGCGTATCCTAATTTTTCAAGTTTTGGACGACTCGTGGCAAATTTCAGCTTGACTTTTGCGTGTATCATCCTTAAACAACTTAGAATAGATGCAACACATAAGTTTTTATTTTTTATTTTTCCCCTGATATCATGACATCCTTTAAATGCTTCACCAATCTCTTATTTGATTAAATTCCCCATTTAATCATGATATCCTAGGGAATGCCAACAACATAATGTTCGAATAATTGCAATTGAAAAAGGATAGACATCAGCCTTGTAAGTTCATTCAACTTGTCTCTCAACCCCAAATAACCAGACACTCATCCTATATTCGCAACAACCAACAATGTCCTATTTCTAAATATCAATATAAATCATCAATCAAAACAGCAAAGTGCCCAGAGAAGTTCAAAATCGACAGACACTTCTGAGGTATGCGGATGAAGATTGAAGAACAATACGTCAATACCTCATTTAGATGAACCACTGTTTCGCTGAAGGACGTCATCATAAGGGTCCCTCCGACCAGGAGTCTGACTAATTTGAGCATCCCAAGCGAGCTGAGAATTATGGCGCTCGAATGTCCAAAACCCGTAAGGTCGCAGAGGGTAGCTCCACATCTCCTTCGTCTTCTTGCACCTATCCTTCACCGAATAAACGTGCTCTCTAAATTTGCGATCCCTTTCCTTCGGATCTTCCATCAATTTCAGAATCAAATTCTCAGCGAACTCCATGATGAACCCCATCTTATCTTCCACTGTCAGATGGCAACTCAAAACTTAAAACCCTCTATTTCAATACTCACGGTATAAAGCATTCAAGCTCGATGGACGCAGAACAAACAACAACCATCGAACTCGGTCATCAATGAAAAATATAACCACCAATTGAATCAGGCAGATGTAACAGAGGCAGGGTTTGCTTTGATTTCGCCAAATTTTCAATCTCCGAGGGTTCAACACATCGAAATGAAGAACCAGAAATAGAATTTAAGTGAAGTACAAGAGAACAAAAAAAAAAAATCAGCACAGAGGAACGAATAAACTGGAAGTAAATGCATCAAAGAGTTTACCTGATCCGCTCGTCAAAGCTCAAAAATTCGCAGAACTCCAACGACAACAACCTTAATCACAATTTTCCAGCTAGCCTAGCTTCCACTTCCCCCGTGAGCAATACTTGCTGGATCATTCGAGAATTTCAGGCCCCTTAATATCTAAGACCTACCTGTCTCGTCGGCTTTATTGGGCCCGGCTTTGATTGATGTGGATTTTCTGGGCTTTTCATTGACTGAAATTCATAGATGATTACAAAGTTTTAGACCCTGTGTCCCTGTCCACTACCTTCGTGGGCCGAAGCTGATGGGGACAAGGTTTGGGCTTTCCTGTTCATTAAAGCTTCCTCTGGCCCAAGCTTAAGTGGCATTGGGCCATACCAGATCCTCTTATTTCGAATTACACATTACAGAATAATCGCAAAAAACAAAGAACTTTTTAACCCTGAAAAAAATACTATGCTACCTCTCATTCTTAATATAAGAATTTGCTTAAATTTTATTTTGATACTGATTATGAGACTCAAATTCAGTTTATTTCTCATATTTATCCATTTTTTTCTAAGATAGTCTTTCTAATACCAGTAGTTCTAACTAATACATTTAATTAGTAAAAATATTTTTAAAAAGACAATATATATTTTTAATGTACTTAAATTAGTCAATTAGCTTTCACAAAGTAGGAGATAGTATAAAGTACTACCTCCGGTCCTAATTATAAGAGCCAGTTGACTAATTTGAGGAGATTAAGGAAGTAAATTGAGTTAGTTATTTGTTCTAAATAAGTGTTGTCTTTACTAAAATATCTCGCTAATCAAATATATTGGCTAAAACTATCATTATTAGAAGGGTTATTTTGAGAAAAAAAATATAAGTTTGAAAGATAAAATAGATTAGGATCTTATATTTAAAACTGAAATAAAAATCAAACAGAATCTTATATTAAACATCGAAACACGCATAATGGTGAGTAATGATTTAAGATTTGATTCCAACATCAAATATACTTACATAGAAAAACGCGGTGACGCTTTCACATGTCCCTTCCAACGTCAAAAGAACACTTCGATATGCGCGACACGGCATAATTTCTTGGTTCACAATTACTTTGTAACTGAATATTCATAACTTTATTTATGATGATTCAACCTTATATTGAAAAGGCTTATAGATCATTTTTATTTATATTTTTTCCATTTTGATTTAGTTAATTATAAATTGATATTTTTGCAGTTTGATATTGTGTAATTTGAACTTTTAAAAAATGACCAGTTTTTTTTTTATGTTGATAATAAGATATCAGAAGGTTGTACCTAAATAACACATTACGGTGGCAAATTGAGATCCGACCTCACAAGCGAGAAAAGGAAGGAAAAAAGTTGAAGGGCATTGGTAAAGTTTAAGTTAATAAAATTAATAAATTACCATTAATTTCAAGAACCAAAGTTAGGTCAAGGGCTCAAAAGGTTGCTGTTTCTATTTTTGAATAAAGGTAAGAATTAAAAATAATTTTGCTCGACTTTAATAGTAAGGTTCTAGACACTCAATAAGAAATCTTTTTCAATTTTAAAAATACACCAATTTAATACTTTTCCCCTCCCAAATACTCGAGTTAATTAATTCATCAAACATATAAACTCATACATAAGTCAGGGTTACATAAAAATATTTTAGAAAGAATAGATCATATTTATTAAAATTAAGTAATTTATTTATTTTTTTTAATTCATTTAGATCAGTTAAGTACCTCTTTTATTTAAAAAAAATACAGATTTGTTTTAGCATCATTATTTTACATAACAGTGGTAAGGTAAAATTTAGGTGGAAGATTAACAAGGTGAGGGGGTGAAATTGATTATTTAAAACTGACCATTCAATCACATCAAGGATTTTAAAACCACAGACCCAAGAACGTTATATTCTCCCCCATCAAATCTGTGTCCCTCCTCTTTTGCTTCAAAGCATCAAGTAAGGAAGCATATGCAAATATACACCATAAAGAAAAAAGAAAACTAAAGAATAAAGGACCCAAAAAGAAAAAGAAAGATACCGAAACTCAAAAAGACACAACCATAACGGAAAAAAAAAAATCATCAAACCTTGCAATTTGCAACCAAAAAAAAAAGTAGTTACAATGTAACAAGTAACGTTGTCATCACAGCTGGACTCATCTATCTGATGAAGCAACTTTCTTCGTAATACATAAAAATTTCTACCTACCATTTCTCTTCCTCCATTCATCCCCTCCCCCCCTCCTTTTTCTGTCGCTATATATTCATTTATCAAATTAATGTTATCTTTAACCCCTAAAATTTGACTTTATCTTAGTTTTAGTTTCTGAAATTTAATTTAATTTTAGCCTGTCTGAAAATTTTCAGTCCTTAAAACAATATTTTTAGTAGGATCAAAACTAAAATAAGGTTAAATTTCAGGGTCTAAAAACGATATCAATTCTTATTTATTTATTTATTTTATACTTAATTAATTTCATTCAACTCTTTTCTCTCCTCTGCAAGTCAGTTTGTGTTTAATGCTGAAGTTAAATGAATACGATCTCCTTAAAATGACAACATTTCTGTTTCACACAACAGAACCAAATAAAGCAAAGCCAATTAGTATCCGTCAGTCACAGCTGGACTCCAGATAGTGGGCCTCGAGTGATTGGGCCTGGACCACGCTTCCTAAAACCCTGCCCTCTCTGACTTTTGTTTTTCTAATAATGATAATAATAATAAAACAAACATAACAAACAATTAATTAATTCTATGATTTTTTTTGTTTAAAAAATATGATTAAATAGGTTAGATCCAAATTCCGAAATTTTGAGGATGGATTTCATGGTTTAAAGAACTCGAGCATAGATTATTACAGTTTATTTATCAACAAAATTAAAATCGTCACAAAAACTAATTTTGGAATATTTTATTTTTCTATGCGGATCTTATCCAGACAAGGCTTTTATTTTTAGTTTTTGTTTTAGAATATAAAGGCATTGGATATCGACGTCACACATCCACTTGTAACTTGCAAATTGCTGGTCTCCCCACTGATTTTTTATGCTTTTTCCTTATTTAATTTTTTTATTGGAGATGGTCCCTCGGAGGTCAATCTTTAATATATATTTTCTGATGCTTTTTGACCACAAAAAAGCAGTAGAAAAGTTAAAAGCAGGTTTCAGAGGGACCAAAAAAGAGGAAACAGATAATTATTTCTGTCAGAGCCAGGTACTAATATTGCCTCTCCCTCCCCATATTTGTTTCTGGTGAATCCGGATTCAAAGCTTGCATTTTTGTCGATATTAAAAAAAAGAAGAAAGAATCAAATTATAAAATAAATGCCATAAATCCGAAATCCGAATCCAAAGGGAAAAACGTTAAATTGAAGTAATCTCCATATGACACATCATTCATTGGCCAAAAAAATAAATGACATATCATTCATGTTCCAAAATGGAGTCGCATGCCAAGAAATAATTCCACCTATGTCCCTCCTGTCACTTCCATTTCTTCCATCTTCAATTACACTATGAAATATGGTTCCCTATCGGGGACGCATTTCCAATCTCTCTCTCTCTTTTCTTCTTTTTTTTCTTTTTTGTTTTGTCCGGATTTAGCTTTATTAATTAATAATTAATCAATTAATTTTCACAAGATATTCAACTGAATCCTTAGGCTGTCTTCCAAGCAATTGTCCAATTAAGGCAATCCAGCATTATGAGACGTAGAGACACGAGATTGCATTGAAATTGCCCTACATTAGTTTATCCAGACTTTTTTGAGCAATGGCATCAATGTATTTATTTTGATAAAGGAAGAAGCTTAATTAATACTCTGATCTTTAATATAAGATCTATTTAATTAATTTTATTAAATTAAAAAAGTTAAATAAGTTAGTTAATTATAAGAAATATGACACGTTTTTCCTAAAATACCATAATCATCTTTCTTAATACCTTCCTCCCTCTTCTTCTTGATTATGATTGAGAGAATATCTATAAGGATAATTTAGAGAAAATTAATTAATATGAGAAATGAGTCTTATATTTAGAATAAAAACCAACTCAATAATTAGATCCTATATTAATAATCGAAGGAATAGTACCATAATTTGTTGGTATTAGGGGTGGAAAAAAAAGAGAGGTTAAAGTCGAAAATTAAAATGACGCGCGAACTGCGGCGTGTTCAGATAATAAGAGCAACAAGAATTGACAAAATTTTTAATACTATTAATTAGCTAGATTTAAGACTGATAGCTCCTGTATTGTACAAAAAAGGCCATACTGAGTAATTAGGAAAAGAGAAAAAAGGCGATCCCTGTGGATTTTTTTCAGGAACCAGCTGACCTATACAACAAAAAGGTAAGGAAGCCACACGGTGCCGTTTTGTGGACCGACCATAATAAAGACAATTCATTAGCATTTAATTACCTTAATCCGCACCTAAAAAAATGGCTCCATCTCCACCAAAACGATGCCGTTTTCACTTCCGTTACCGTCGCCGAAACTATTCTACCGGTCTCTCTTAACTATCGACGGCCATCAAGCCATCTCCGTCCACACCGCCGTTCACCTGTTCGCCGGCCGCATCTTCACCTTCCTCGTCAGCCCATCTCTCCAATGGCACGCACTCTGCCTTGTGCCGGAACTTCCAATCCAGCGCCTGACAAGCACGAGAACAGTAATTCACTGTCCCACACACCGAACACCGACGAAATTCATGCTTTCTCGTCTCCGGCCGGCCACAACCGATGTGCGAGCATAACCTAAGACCCGAGCCTGGGGACCAGCCCCGCTCCCGGAACCAGTCGGTCATGAAACGGTTGGCGGGGTGTGACTCAGCCGCCGGGACGTTGCAACCGTAATCGCTTAGAAGCGGGCACCCTGACCCGCTCAGATTCTGCGAAAGCGGATGAGGATGCGGGTGCGGGACAGGGTGGAGGTTCCAGGTGAGCACAGGGTTAGCCGCCGCCGGAGGTGACAAAACAGCGGCGAGCTCTCGCGCGTTGGCTTGGACCAGAAATCGCCGTCCCTCCAGGATGTTTTGTCGAACCCCATATCCGTCTTGCAGGCAGTGGCCGAGTTCACGGAGAGCGTCGATGTGGCCCAGGAAGGCGGCGCGTGCACACAGAGCCACACCGGCCCTGAGGTCCTTGTCGTTCTTGGTCCCGCCGCTGCCGTTGAACTGGACAACTGCCAGGGAGTACAGAGCCTGCGCGTGGGAGTTAATCGCCGCCTTGGCCATCAGCGACGCTCCGCTTCCTCTGTTTTGCAAACAGTAGAATCGAATCTGTACAGACAAAACAACCCCAAATTCAATCACCTTATTCACAATTTCCCGATTGAGCAAACCTGCATATTTCAAAGATAATTTTTTTTAATACTAACCATGCCCAGGATATATAAGGCTTCAACATTCCCGGCATCGGCACACTGTTTCAGAAAGCGGTGAGCCGAGTCGGACCAGTTCTTGGCCCGAATAGCTAATGCTTTCGGTGAAGCTTTCGATAAAACTTGAGATTGGAGGCCCAAACCATGAAATCTCTTACACCTGAACCCAGAAAATCAAACACGTCAGAGACCGACCCAGAAAAACCAGGATCAAAACAATAATATTCTGAAATTCATTTGAGACACGCACGTGATCAAAACACTAATGAAATCGGAGGGGCAGGCCGCTGTGGAGCTGAGTTTGGTGAGGATACAGAGGAGAAGGTCATCCGGGAGAGACTCAAAAAAATCGCAACCTCCTCCGCCTCCAGCAACCATGTTTCCCGGCGACTTCTTCAATCTTTTACGGCTGACAAAAGACGATTGTTCTTCCTTGTCTTGAAACAACCTCAACTCTCCGACATCGTCCTTATGCGAACGCACCCTCGGAGGTGCCCCTCGAGGATAACACAGCCCCCTCCTCGTTCTCATATCCCTGACTCCTCTATCCCCTGTCTTGTCTCACTCTCCTTGCGAGAATTTAATCGAAGAAAAAAAGCGAAGTGAGAAGTTATATATACAGCAACGACACAGAGACAGGCTTAAAATGAAGTCGTTTAGTTTATTTTACAAAACTAACCCAAGGCGGAGTGGTTGATGTCGTTTAGGGGAGTGAAACGGCGTTGACCAAGATCCACTACCCTTGTCGTTCCCGTTTCTACGGCGTGAGCTGGAACGGTAACTTGGTAACTACTGAGAAAAAAACAAGAGGCGCAACAAATGAAACAGAACACGAAAGAAGGAATTGCGTTGCGTTGTGTGCGTGCGTGTGTTGTGAATACTTGTGTTGTGAGTTTGTTGTGCAACATTCACATCTCCCTCGCTCTCTCAGGGTAATGACCACGTAACGCGGTTATCGGATGGCGCGTGGTGTTTTCCATTCTAGGCACTTCCCTGCAACTCCCAACGGTCAAACGGATGGTTCAGTTACACTGGTTTGTTACTTCGTTTTACTCCGAAAAACCTAATTCTATTTTTTGTTTCACCTTTTTTTTTTTTTACCTTTGTTTTCTTTTATTTCTGAGAAACAGACTTCGAGAAAATCGCCTTAACTCAAAAAGGGAAGAATAAAGTCTGCTGTTGGGGGAATCACGAACGATGAAAAACAAGAGCTTTCCAGCAAAGACATCGTTTTGTTGTTGTGTTGGACAAGGAAGTTCCCAGAATAAGCAGGTCTTTTGGCCTTGCTCTTGTCAATTCCACTAGATATCGTTTTGTTTTAAATCACTAACATCAGTATCAGGGGTGTTTGCCTAACTCTAAATTATTTATTAAGGTTTTATGAAATAAACTCCTCCACACGTTTACTTTATATACCGTAAAAATACTTTTAAAACCATAGTTTTGTATCTACCCAAACACTCTTTTAATATCAATCCGTGTGAATACTAAAAAAAATAATTATGCACAATATTCTATTAAAAAGTTTACATGAAGGATACCATTACCTAGACTTTGAAATATTTTCTAACAATATCAATTTGTTTATTATAAAACAAAAAACAGCTACTTTATTAGACTTCGTATAATGCATAAGCAACTTGTTTTGATTAGTTGTCTGATCAAGAAACTAGAACTAGCCAAACCCTTAATATTTTGTTTGTTGCTCTCGAATTAATCTCTTTTGTAAACTAATTTGTCACTTCTTCCACTTACACTATAAATGAAAAATATTTTTTACTGCAAATCCAGGCATATTTTGTCATAACTCACCACCATTCCATGCATATTTTGTTTTAATTCATGGCAATTTACTCATTAATAACTTAAATGCATCGAGCATAAAAGTTATCGTGTCTCATCTGTTACACGACATTGTAATTCACATCAATTCATTCGCTTTTAGTTATAATTCATGTCATCAATTCATGCTTAAAGATAAATGCATGCGGTATAGACCATAAGAAAACAATGCTTAATAAATCTTGATGAAATATTCATGAATAATTAGTTGTACTAAGGGAATTGTACAAGAGAATATGAAAAGTCCGATTTAAGAAGGAATATATGACATGATATTTTGATTTCTAAAGTGAAGACTAAATCCTGCTCTTTCAATTACTGTCTCTTTTAATAATATTTTGTTCCGGATTTTCAGATGTTTTTAAAAAATCTGTTGACATATGCCATATTGAATAATTTTGCCTCGTAAAACCTTAATAAATAATTTTATCATCATAAAAAGAAGGAAAAACATTTAACCAAGGGTAGATTTCCAAAGGCAAAAAAAAAAAAAACTAGACACAAGCCATTATTTCATTTTCGAGATTTTTGCACCTGATATTATATTAAGGGGTGGAGGAAGTAAAAAATAAAAGTAAAATTAACTCAAAAATAGTACTTCTCCTATCTTATTTATAAGTTTCAAATTTAAAAAGAAGTTTGGCTCATTTTATGAGTTTTGATTTAGATTTCTCTTAACATTTAATACATTTCTTTTTAATATTACTCTGAATTACTGGCCTTTTATCACATTTTTTCACGCATTCTCTTTTATCTTTTTCTCATTTATTATAAGCGCATACTTAAAAATAAGAGTATATTTCTAACCTATTTATTATTTTTAATCAATTTTAATTAATCATTCATTATTTATGAATTAGCTATTTAAAACTTATAATAAGTAGTATTCTAATTGTTATAAGTATATATTAAAATAATTTTTAAAAATTTATTTTGTTTTGGAATAATATGCTACTGGTTAAGAAATTTAATTTAATTTACTCGCTACATTGATAAACCATAATACGCGAGGGGTTAGCTGCAATTATAGTGATAGAAGCAGTTATATAGAATTTAATTAACATGGGCAAACCCTGGGCCGAAAAAATTTAATACTGAAAAGAAGAGGAAAAACATTTGATTAGGGTGGATTTGAAATGGGGAAAAACATTTAGATTTAGCTGCTTTCTTGGACATCATGATTTTAGCATTTGGATTGGAAATTTTATGAATAAAAGAGTTATGCTGGGCATGTGAAGCCTTTTATTTGAATAAGATAGTACTCAAATTTGAATGAATTCTTTAGTAGCCAAGAACCAAGTAGTTGTAAAACAAAGGGTTAATTATACTATTGCTAGTCTATATAATTTGATTAAATTTTAGTTTTGATTCTTATAGTTTCATAATTTTTTATTTGAGTTTAACAAATGGTCCTGTATTTTTAATAAGTTTTGGTTTTGATCTTTGTAACTAAACCTGAATCAAGTCTTTATAAAATTATAAGAACCAAACCAATAATTTAAAACCATAGGAAACTAAAATCAAAATTAAACAATAATATTAATACTAACAGAAATATAAATATATCAGGTTTCAGGGGCATTTGTTAGGGTACTGAAATTAACCAGGTGGGGTTGAAATACAAGTGATTAGTTGATTTAAATATCATACACACTTATGAAGACGAAAAAGGATGGCAAAAACGTCACAAACAATTAATGGGGCTTTAATTAGTTGCCCGTAGAACAAGTCATGGTTGCTTCTTAGTTCTTACACCAACATTTTGGTTCTACGTTCTCTGCTTCAACTACAAGGGCTGCCCTCACTCCTGTAATAATCTCTCCAGTACTTATTATGAGCTTTAAATAACTAATTAAAAATAATAAATATATTTAAAATATATTTTTGTTTTTAAATATGTTTTTATAATAAATGAGAAAATGGATAAAAGAGAATGTGTAAGAAAATATGATGAGAGAGAAATAATTAAGAATAACATTAAAAAAAAAGCATTAAATGTTAAGCCAAACCCAAATTAAAATTTATAAAATAAATCATATCTTTTTGTAAATTTAAAGTTTATAAGTAAGAAGCAACCACTTTCGTTTTCATCTTATGTTTCTCTCACACGCTTCTATATATATACATACACTTCTGGTTGCTAGCTAGTCATGTCTCGTTAAGTTCCTCAGCTTTTTCCTGCCTTAATTGCAACCCTAAGAAAACCCAACTACTTATTTTCATACTTTTTCTTCACAGTTCATTGCGCCTTCGTAACAATGGGTCACTAATAACATGTCTTTTGTTCTCGCCTAACCCAACTTATTATGAATACGTGCAATGCATATTCACACGTACGTATTTATAACTTAAATATTACTATCTCCTGTTCTACTAATTATAAGACCTCATTTGTATATTGTAAATGAAATCTTATAATTAAGGCGTTTACAAAATAAATACAGAGTGTGTAGTTATAATAGAATAATGATTTCAACTCACGACTATGCTAATTGATCTGCATTAACCTTTTTTGCTATAGTTAAAGGCAAGAAAAATAAATATCACGAACATTCTACAACAACTCGATCGTGATCAAATAAAATTATGAAAAATTCAGTTGCTAAATAAAATATAGTAATTTTCCCACACACACATATACATAGAACGAATAGGCGCTGCTACCATGAAGATGCAAGGAAATGATACCTTTCAAATTACAGAGGGAAAGTGTATACTCTCATAAGAAGAGAGATCAATTAATTTTATTTTTATTTTCAAAACTAAATTATATTGATGAAAATAGTATTGCAATAGCAAGGACAAGGACGCGATGGGCAACATTAATTAGGTTAAAAAGTTGAATTATGGACGACAAAATGTTGGAAACCGCACATCAATTAACGAATTTGAATAATGCTGTTAAATATAGGGAGTAGCCTCAAATAATGATTGAATTGTCAAAATTAGGAATGACCCTATCAGTTAATAGAGGAAATCTCAAATGATTGAACCGTCCAAATATCAGAATTATTATCGAAATTTTGAATGGGCAAACATGGTTGAAATTAATGCTTGAACAATGATGATCAGTGCATACGAAAGCGATGTATAACTCGAAACCTATTATTTTATTTTATTTATATTTTAGGTTCCTAGTATTAGTTTTTAATAAAATGAGGCATTGTATATTTATTACTATTAAATATATATAAATTTTTGGTGCAAAAAAGCATGAGAATTGAAAATGTGGGGCTATTTCTCGTGAAACTGTCATCAAAGCATTGGTTGCGTGTTTATGCCTTGTAACCATTTAAGGAGAGCAGTGAGACTCCAAGCCCCCTATCAAGCACAGCAATTAATGGCATATGGCGTGTTTGATTACCTTTCGCATTACTATATGGTTTTAGTTGTCAACTTCAATTTAGCATAAATCCTATATATCTAAATACTACCTCCGATCCTTAATATAAGAGTTAACTTGATTTTCAATTTGGTTCTAAATAGAAGACCTCAATCCACTTTGTCTCTCACATTTATTCATTTTTTTCTCAAAATAGTCGTTATAGTAATTACATATATATGTTAAATATTTTATCAAATAACAGTTTTAGTTAATATATATAATTATCAAGAGTATTTTAGGAAAAACAATACATTTTTATTATAAATAACTAACTTAATAAATTTTATTAATTTATTCAAATTAGTCAACTAATTTTTATATTAAGGATCAGAGGTAGTA